ATATATATATATATATATATATATATATATATATATATATATATATATATATATGATATATATATAATGAATATATGCACACGGCTAGGTATAAAGGTACTAAATAACCTTTTAGGCGTTCAAATGTGGTGATCTTTTACAAGAGATTTGTTATGTTTATTGTAGTGTAATTCGGCAACACATAAAGAATTTGAGCAACTTTTAAGTTAGAATTGAAGTCTTTACAGGTTCTACTGCATCGATTACCATTTCTGACATCATCGTTTTCCAATCTATACAGTAGTATGGATGACGCAGGAAAAGCTGTAAGTTTTTTTTTCTTCTCAAATAAAAATCAACTCATTTTACCATACTTTTAGGCTTTGGGTGAACTCGGAGCTGCCATGGGCGTTGAGGGACCTATTGATATTGCATTGTCCAATGCTGTCCGAGCTCAAAGTTTACAGGTAGGATTTCTCTTAACAAAGCTTTTGCTTTTCTTCCCAGCGAAGTTCAGATAAATCCTGATGAGCACTACCAAATGAGTTGTTTGTTACTAGTTGCTATAGCAGTCAGTCTTCCAAAACTGGCGACTGTAGAGTCAGCAGCATACAAACCGAGTTTACGAGGTAATTGACAAGTTATTCGTTTTTGATTTTTCTTCTATTGGGTTGTCGGATAAGTTTGTGCCTTTTGTTTCAAACTCAAAAAATATTTTGAAAAATCGAAGATTCCAGCTGTACTCGTCGACCTTACTGTTTCGTTTTGTGAAATTAGATGCGATTGAACTTGGAAACGTGGAAGGCTGAAAAAAGTTCAACCGAGTCAATTTTTCTATGTGAGAAGCTTAGAAAAGATCAAAAGGCTATCTAATAGAGTATTTGGGTATGCCGGTTACAAAGAATATCCCCTCTGTAGATTTTTACTGTAAGATTACGTTAGGCATATGCAACAATGGTCAAATTCAAAGGTTTGTTTGAAAAGTGCTCTAGTGGGTTGATGTGAATCATACCACCATGGGTCTCCGATGGTAAGGTCAAAACCACTGATCTTTCGCAAAATGAAAAATTGAAAATTTCACGCCTACTGTGGGAAATGACTCTACCATGGAAAATACATGTGATTTTTTATCAGCATATCGTTTGAACCCAGTAGACCGCTTTTTAAGCAGATTAGTGAATTTGATAGCGCGTCATGCTCCTACAGTAATCTTACATAAGATCGTACCATGAAAAATAGCTATGATTTCTGTAATTACATAGTCGTCACCCACTGCGTAGCGTTATTATGGACGTTTCTCTACTACCTAGGAAAAGAGCTGTTGGTTGAGCTTTTTCTGCCCCTAAGGAATGATTTCCAATCACTTTTAGTTTGACAAATCTAAAATCTTTGAGCAAACGAAGCACACTATCTCGTAGACTTCTATTTCCTAATGATATGAAAAGTGCTGCCGAAAAATCCAGTTTCTTGGCACATTTTGATTCGGAAAGAAACGGCACGAACTTTAACAACCCTACATCGACAAGCCATTGATTTCAGCAAGTTTGAATAATACCCACTGCATTCCTTTGGCTGTCAATACTATGGCTGGAGCGCTATTCCATCATCACGGAAGGGGTGATATACACCTGCGTATGAAAGAATTTTTGGCGGTAAATAGATGGCAAAGCAAAGCTGGACAAAATCGAAAAGTTGAGAACATTTCAGCTGGCATCCAGTAGTGTCTTGCGAGCGGCCCAAGAAATGGATGGACGTCTCGACGCAACAAATAACCAGTCAGCTCTCTACATAATGCTTGAACAGGTATACTGCCAGATCAGCAATCTTTAGTTAGAGTTTTCGGCTTCCTGAATCTACATTCTCAATTGATTAGAATCTCAGCTTTGCAAAGTTGAGTTACGAATTAGGAACGCAGCTGTAGAAAAACGTTAAATACGAATTATGTTTGGGAAAATCAATCAGCGTTGGGA